AAGTAGCGTGCATAAAAGATCAGCACTTGACACATCTTTCAGGAAAATTGATTGTGAATTATTTCATTATTTGGCACCACGAAAAGAAAAAACAAACAGTTTTTTTGCTGGAAAATTAGTCAAATAGTTTTCAAGGTTTTACTTTAAGACACAAGGGTTTTTAACATTTTTGAAAAATGAAATAACCTTTTCTACCACTTAAAAGTGCATTAAGAAAAAATGCTTAATTCAGTACATTCAGTAGGTTTTCTTGCTCTCAACACACCCGGGTATCTGCAAAAACCACAAGACTGTGTGAACGTGCGATCAACATGTTCATCAGTGTCGCCGTCCCTTGTGTTTAAGTTGTTTATTATTCAAAATTCAAGACTCAGTTTTAAATATCGCCATGCATCACAAGATTATAGAACAAAACCACAGCTGTAGGTCCTTAATGCTGCTCACAAAAACAGACAGATTATGTTATCAGTAAACAATAATAAAACTAGATCCGTGGTGACCTGCAGGATGACTCAGTAAACTCACATTAAGGCGATTTTAGCTTCATTCTTCAGCTGCTTGGTGGTGTTCAACGGTGTAGGGAGCAAGTAAATAACAAAAACATCAGTCTAGCTGATGGGTAGACTCACTGCAAACCTTCTAAGGTCCACATGTAGGCTGTGATGATGCTGTTTACCAGGAGACCTGATTGGGCAGCAGACTGGGTTTTTATGTCAAACGTGACTTGCTCTGGAGACGGTTAAGTGTTCGGTTACCGTGATGACGTACCCAGGAAGAAGTGAACCATCATTGTAGTACCGAAAACCCGGTGTTAAATCTGCAGTTATGGATGCCGCTATAGCTCACCTGGTTGAGCTGGTGTCCCATGTTCAGGGCTACAGTCCTGATACGGAGGTCATGAGTTCCAATCCCGCTCATGACCCTTTTCCGCAGGTCCTTCCCCCATTCTTCTACTGTTCGATCAAATAAAGGCAAAAACAACCAAAAATATAACTTAAAAAAAAAATAAAAAAATTCTGAAGTTACACCAAATCCTGCGTCATCGTACCGATACGTAGTCCGCCACTATCCTGTAATGCATAATCGGTACTTGTGGGGCTTCTGTTTGGCAAGTTTTGTTGAGTTTGATTTCTTTAACAATCTCACCATGCTTTCTTGCTCTTCTCTTCTCCTGTGGTTTCCTTTGTCAGGTGGTGAAAGTCGTAGGAAGCAACATCTCTCATAAACTCCGCCTCTCCCGAGTCAAGCCGTCCGACGAGGGCACGTACGAGTGCCGCGTCATCGACTTCAGCGACTACGTAGGGGCCCGTCACCACCGCGTCAGAGCCTACCTGCAGGTGGTGCCGGAGGGCGACGCCACCGCGAGCAACCACCACAACAACAACTTCAGGGCTCCGGACGATACCAAGAGGGGCGTGGGATTCACCGACGTGCCTCACGGTGGCACCAGAGAGCACAGTCAGCACCAGAACCACGGGCACAACCAGGAGCACGGCAAGCGGCCCTCATCGCCCGCCCACCACGGCCACAGCCACGGCGGCAGCAGCAGTCAGCAGCACAAGGCTGGCAGGGAGCTCAAGAAGAGGGACATGGACAGTAATCACAACCACAATGACTGCAGCAACGAGCCGAGCTGTGCGCCGTAGACGGTCATTACACCCGAACACAAGTATTACCCAACGCGGCGTGTGTCACAGCATGAAAAGCTATTATTCCCACACAGTGCAGGCCTGTGCACACACACAGAGTCCCTGGAAATGTACAGTATTCACAGCGTAGTCCGGCAAACTGTGCAGGAAACGTAGCTTTTTGTGGCCGTGCACGGGTCCGGGTTGGGCTGCTCACTGTCTGTAAAGCCTGGCTTCACGACATCCAGCAACGAGGGCTGGTGTGTAGATTTAGGCAGCTCCACCGTTTGTGGTTTCAGCACCAAAAAAGAAAAAAAAGGGGAAGAAAAAGACTCTTGTGTTCCTATTAACCCGCGCTCTGCTCCACTCTTGTACTTTAGATACTGTAAATGAAACAATCGGCTGTCATGTCCACACCTCCTCCACTGCCTTACTCTGTCATTTGATGCACTCTCAGAAAAAAAAGCCCCAATATCATACTTTTTTGTAACTGGGTCTGTCCCCAGTATAAGAAAAAAAACAACTCTTTTATTCTGAGAGCGCACTGAATGACACACAGCTGAATTCTTTCCCTTAGCTTTATACCTGAAGCACTACTTTTATTACATCTTTTTTTGTGTGTTCAGTCATGAAAACGGTGCAAAAACCTGCATCCACCCCAAACCTTGTGCAAGTTATTTCCCCCTGTTTGCTCACAGGGAGATGCTTTCTTCAGCAGGAATCCATCCAGGTCCCAGAGCGGCGCCGAGGACAGACACGGTGGTCGTTTCTTTTCAGCAGAGTAAATACAGTAGTAGTGTGGAAAGTGTGGCGATTCAATTCAAACTAAAAAAAAAAAAAACACGAACAGGCTGTTTTCTCCACAGTGGGTTCATGAATTTGCAGAAAATGTGAGTTTTGTTCAGCGAGCCTTGTGCTGCAGGTTCGATCCATTCGCGGCGTTTTAAGAGGAATCGATATATAGTTCCGCGTGGACTTTATCCATTTGGAAAAGATCAAATAACTAAATTAATTTGGTTTGCCTCTGAATCGTAGCTATAAACACATGGAAGAAGTGGTGAGACGTCCCTTTAAGGACGAGCAGTGCTGTATTCCTGCCCCAGCTTCGTTCCCTTTTACCCTCATCGATCATTCAAAAAGCCTCAATCGTCCCCACGACAAGCCTCTAATCCTCTCTGTACATAAGACTGTATAATACCGAATAAAGTCGTGCATGTTCAGTAATTTTTTTCAACAGACTTTTTCAGCCGACCGTACACGTAGACGGTGTGTTAGCTAGGGATGTTTATTTATTTTTTTGTCATTTATCAGTTTGATTCATTAAAAAAAAAAAAAAGAAAAAAAATCCTCCTGAATGTTTTTATACTTGTTTTTCTTCCCAGGCGGTTTTCTGTTGCTTTACTGCTCTCCAAAAGTGCTGTACAGACAGATGAATGACACATTCTCTTCATAGCTGCTCAGACAAGGGGCTTCCCTGATGCATCTTAGTACTTACGCAGTGTTTCTTAAACTACGCAGGGCCGTGAACGTGAGCGCGACCACATTTCAGTGAGAACGCGTGCAACGTGGCTGGAGGAGGCCTGAGAGGCCGTTTCACTGCTGGCATGAACTCCACTATAATCTTTTTACTTTGACGTGCGTACGAAGCTGTTTGTAACGGCAACGGGGAGCCTACGATAGGACACGACAGGCATTCTGGGTAATGGGTATGTGGGTAACATGCTGGGTAAAGCCTTGAGCAGTGACGGCAAAAGAGGAAAATGTGGAACGCCGTCTGTCCATTTTGCCTCAAAATAATAGTCTTGTGAGTCAAGACCATGAGCGGTTACCCTTCTTTGCTGTATTATCCCCCCACAGCGCCACCGTGGGCAACAGGAGCAACGTTCAGAGGGATCGTTTTGTTTTTTTCAGACAGTAACTCTGATTTGCTGTTTTGTAAAGAGATCACTGTTGGAAAAAAAAGAGGGAAAATGTACATTTCTTCTAGAATGTTTGGTCTCACACTAAGTGTATGCCTTTATCAATTGAAATAAATTGTATATGAAACAACAGCGAACGTTTGTTGATTCAGAGACGACTTACGGTTCTTTCACCACACCGTCACATCGAAGCAGGTACTGGGTGTTTCCACTGCTGCGCTCACTGTCAGCTGTGGTTTAGTTTTCAGCCTTTGCTCTGTCTGTCCGCGGCATTAACGAGAAACTGTGCGAGGCAGTTGTGTAATAGGTGCTGCCAGAGGCCCCCCCCTCCCATCGCTGCTGCTGCTGCTGATGACTAATGGTGCTATTGTCAGCGCTGGCAGCAGGATAAATAGCAACAGCGCAGGACGAGATAAAGAGGCGCTGTGCCGTGCTCGCTAGCATTAAGTCAGGCCGGCTAAATACAAAACACGCGGCGATCTTGTTTCCCACACCGGAGGCCTCCTACATTCATTACGGAGCGACGAGGTGGGGCCGCTCCGGTTCTGCCGTCACTGAGGGGATGTGATAATAGCAGAGGGGACTTTCTGTTTCCGTCGTTTACGCAGCTCCTGAACCCTGCAGGGTTCACGCTGATAACGGTGATAGATCGGCCGGTGTCCCCGTCATGATAACTTCGATTTGTCCACAGCTACACAACCTGTGACCCAGCGGGGCAGAAGTCCTCCATCCTCTGGACAGCAACACCTGCCAAAGAACTCCTGAATAAATGGGTTTGGTTACACGTGTTGTTCTGTGAAGTTGTGTAAAATGTGAATAAAAACAGAACACCATCATTTGCAAATTGTTTTTTAACCTACAGTCAGTCTGATAAACTACAAAGACAAGATATTAAATGTTTAAACTGATAAACTTTGAGGGTTTTTTTTCAAATATTCACTTGTTTTGATTTTGTAAGTCGTTCTAAAAACAGCTGGGATAATAACCACACCGCTCCTCTCAGCAACACTCAGTGAGCGTTTGGGAACTGAGGATGCTAACTGGTGAAGCTCGTAAGTGGGTTCTCCGTTTTCACATGTTCAGTGGGAGACGGATCTGGACTGGCCGGTCTAGTAGCTGCACTTGTTTTTACTACGAAGCCGGGCTGCTGTAACACGTGCAGGATGTGTTCTGACAAAAGCAGGGACGTCTCTGAGAAAGGCGTTGCTTGGATGGGAGCATGTGTTGCTCCAAAACCTGTATGTACCTTTCAGCATTAACGGTGCCTTCACACATGCACGTTACCCAGGCCATAGACACCAACACACCCCCAGACCATCACAGACGCTGGCCTTTGAACTTTGCACTGATAACAATCTGGAAGGTCCTTTTCCTCTAAACACCATGATTTCCAAAAACAGTTTGAAATGTGGACTCATCAGACGACTGCATGCTTTTCCACATTTCATCAGTCCATCTCAGATGAGCTCAGGCCCAAAGGAGAAACACATGGCTTTCACTTTGGATGGTAGAGTTTTAACCTGCACTTGTAGATGTAGTGACAAACTGTTAACTGACAGTGGGTTTCCAAAGTGTTCCTGAGCACACCTGGTAACATCCATCCATTATCTATACACCGCTTAGTCCTCACTAGGGTCATGGGGGGCTGGAGTCTATCCCAGCTGACTCAGAGTGAAGGCAGGTTCACCTGGACAGTGATTATTTCTGTTGCTTTAAAATGTTGTTTCTTTTGGTGCTAAGAGTCCATTTGTAGACAGACAAGATGACGTTATGAAAACAGTGTGATGAATCCTCTCATTCAAACTGGTAATAACTGCCTTGGATCGTTTCCTCACAGCTTTATTCTCAGCTTTTCTTTTTGCTTACAAAACAGTGTTATCTACAAATGGTGTCTTTTAGGGTTAGGGTCTGTATTTCTAAAAGTAACATTCACATTTCATTCTTACATCACACAGAAAATTATGTGTATTTTGTGCCACTAAGACTCCTGAAATACAACTTCAAGAATACACAGGGCTACACTTAGAGACAGACAACCAAGCACACTCACATTCACACCTACGGACAATTTAGAATCACCAATTAACCTCAGCATGTTTCTGGACTGTGGGAGGAAGCCGGAGAACCCGGAGAGAACCCACACTGCACGGGGAGAACATGGAGACTCCACGCAGAAAGATCCCGGGAGTCCTCACCAGGACGCGAACCGGCGACCTTGTGAGGCGACGGTGCTAACCACCGAGCCACCTTGGAGCTCCATATAAGACATGATTAGGATAGAATGAATGAAATGCTTCTTTCTGCTCTACTGCTAATATGAAGGGAACGGGTGACTGATGAATGATAGCTGGATGCTAGCATTAGCATCAGGAGGCAGCGGGCTACAGATGAGCCTCGGGCTATAATTTGGTCCTTTTTGTTTCCTTTACCATATTTAAAATCTGGTTAGCATTTGCTTACGGTGATGTGTCAGAATACAAGATACCAGCTGCATATCCACACTGCAAACACAAGACATGAGAAGCATCAGCACCGTCACTGCATGTGACTAAAGTCCTGTCAGGTTTGTTCCTCGTGTCGACACCTGCAGCACAGATGCTCCACCGACATCTTCCTCTGCACCTCGCTGCTCATCAGAGCTGGATGCACCACGAGGATTACCACGAGCACACCTGATGGCACCCCTGTCAGATTTTCTTTCAGTTAATCGATCTGTTGGAGTCAGTGGTTCAATGAGCTGTCCATTTAAAAGATTGCATCCATCAGCAGCTCACTGGCTGACTGCTTGGTTAATTGTCTCGGGGGCTGAGCCAAAATCTTCCCTCAGCAGTTTCAGCACGTTGTCTGAGCACTCGTCTCTGGGCCTGCTCATCCCGTTCAGCTGGACGGCGTGGAGGTCGGCGTGAGGCGGGACGTAGGACGACGGGCAGTGCAGCTCGTTTAGAGCGAACCAGAAGACGTCCGGGTCCACCTGGATTAAACGTCGGAAAACGCTACGTAGAGGGAAAGACACACGAGAACAGGATTAGCTCCATACATCACATCTACTGTATGGAAAAACACCTTCCTGTAACTCAGCGACAGACTGAGCAGCTCCAC